GAACAAGAAATTACTGAATTAAAAAATCTAGGAGAAGTAAGTGAACAAGAAGAAGCTGAATTTAAGCAAGAAGCAATCAACCAAATTCACCAAATATTGGTAGATATGAGAAATAGATTTCCTCATTGTAGTAAGAATATTGAACAAGGTTTAAGAAAGTTGATTAGTAAACCATTAAGACAACAGTTTATGAATGTTTGTTTTCAATACAGCCTTTACAATGATTATTGATGAGAAGAAAAAGAAAACCTAGAAGAATTGGTAGAGAGAATTATTATAGACCATTTTGAAAGCACTGAGTTAGCTACTGAATTGTTAAAGGATTGAAAGAAATGAAATCAAAGATCTCATATTTTTTCTCAAATAAAAGAAGGGGGTGAAATTTTTGGCAAACCAGCTAAGGATATAATTCTTAAAAACATTATTGGAGGCAAAGACAAAAAGATTAAGGAATTAGAAACCAAACAGAAGAAGTTGGAGGCAGAAGTAGAAGAATTAGAAGAAAGAGTAGACATTGAAGTTGAAACTAACTTGGAAGCACTGGAAATATCTAAAAAATGACACAACAAAAGAGTTTTTGCAGAGAATATGAAGAGAGATGCTACTATCATTGAACAGAGAATAGAGAATGACCAATTAAAAAAGAAATTAGATGCTTATGAGAAAAAAGCTAAAATCAAGCAGATTAAAAATTTAACCAAGAGAGCAAAGACAAAAGTTAATGGGAAAGTTCAAAAACTTAAAGAAAAAGTTAATGCTATTAAAGAAAATTTTCAAACTTGCATTTTGCAAGAGTTTGGAAGCCACATTTTAAGAAAGCAATAGATTGTTATGAAGAAGTTAGAATATAAAATTCTTGAAAGGACAAAATCATCTGTCCCATACTGTAATTATTGTGCAATTAGTGATGAGCCAGTTCTTGATAATGCTACTCACGAATTAGTAGCATACCATGAAGATAGTTTTGCTGCTGATATTGGCTCTATCTGTGCTGATTGTAAAAAAGATTTTAAGAATAATAATCTTTCTTATTGTGAACTTTGTGGTAGATTGCAAAGAAATAGACAAGGTTGTTATTGTAGTTTGTTGAAAGATGGAAAATTCAGAACACTTTTCACAGAAGAGGGAACTTCCCAAACTATCAAAGCTCGTTTAGCAAAGGAAACCAAAGAACTTGAAAAGGAATTGAAAACTGCCAAGGAGGAGTTGAATGTTGAAAGAGAAGAAATAACCAAATTTCATGAAAAGTCAAAAAAGTGAAGTAAAAAGCAAAAACAGGAGTTATTAGATAAGATAAAAAGTTTAGAAGAGAAAATTAATCATCTAGAAAAAGAAAACAGGAAATTAAAAGATCAACAAAATGGTCAATTAAATGCTCAAATTGAAGTTAAAGAGATTAAAAGATGATCTTGATTGAAAATAAAAAAGTAGTTTAAAAGAAATTCTGTATAAATTGAAATTCATTTCAACTATCAAAGAAAATGGTATTTATTTTCCTTTTAGAGATTTTTGTTTTTTATTGGGTAATAATGCATCATCATGTTGCTTTCTTTTTCTGACACTTATTATTTTTCTTTCTTCTTGGTAAATTTCATAGGTAATCCTTTCTTTTTTTAGATAAGCTTCTAGTGTCTGAGTATCATTTATTTTGAAAATGTAAGGAGCAATTTTTTCACCTTGTTCTTTCTTCAAAATACTTCTGATAGTACT